TCAAAATATACTGTTGCACTGCTCATATTATTGCTATTAGCATTTTGAAAGATGTGCAGTACCTTGGCTCCAGATTTTTTGACTTGTCTCTAGAGTAGTACCTTGTTTGTATTCTCTAGTAGGTCTAGGAGTCTTTTGCTAAATCTGTTTCTTGTATACAATAATTCAAAATTGTTAGTACCTGCTGTTAACCTTACTAATATCTAGTTTGCAAAAGGCAGATACCAAGTCTCGTTCTTTTTCTTTTCATCAAAAGTGTCTGCTTTAAATTCAATCTCTGCTCATGTTTTATCTTTTGCATTTTTGATCATCTCTATATGTTCTACTCTTCCTATAAATTAAACTAACTCAAAAACTTGAATTCTTTTAGCCTAGTTTAGTAAATCCTAAACTATCATCATATTTTCTTCTCTGCTTTCGTTTGAGTTAAAAAAGGCTTGTTGAATTCTGATATTTTCATTACTTGTATCTTTTTGTTGCTCTGAGATGATTATAATCTTCTTTTTCCTTCTTATTTAAACTTCTTCTAATTCTGCTTTCACTTGTTCTTCTCTTTTTCTTTCTTTTATATCTGTAGAGATCATCTTTATATCTTAACTATCTGAGGATTAAGTAGCCTTTTCTTCTTTTGAACTTTCTTTATGAATTAGTTTGGTTTGCTCGTATTCTTCTTTCTTGTTTTCTAATTTCTTCTTCGCTTCTTCATAGCCTTTTTTCATAGTCAAAAATTAAGGTATACCACAAATTACCTTACTTAATTTTTCAGATATTTTTTTGAGGTAAATATTTCTACCTATTGACTATCTTAAAGACTTTTCTCTATGACTTGTATTATTTTCAAGTACTTTTATAACTACTACTTTTGCTCTTATAATCTTTTTTCCTTCACACCTGTCTTTACTTGGTACTCAGATACTTTTTTTAAAAGAAAAATCTAACTCTGCTAGTATTAAATCCTCTTCAGATTCTTCCATAGTATCCAAGTATAGGTTTGGATTTGATTTAATGTTTTCTTTCTCTTGAATTTCTTTAATATCTTCTATTAAACTATTATCTTCTTTGTTTTTTTCCTTTTGCTAAAAATTGTCTTTCTAGTAGAGCTTGTTCTTCTTCTGTACTGTTAACTATCTTTAAAGAATTTGTTTGATCTAACATTTCTATATATGATTTACTCTCAATTTCAAGCACTATTAGATCATCTCTCCTTACTATTATATTCTGGGTTACTTGTCTTAGTACTAATTTAACTCTATCAATTCCTTCTATTATTGCTACTCTCTCTATTAGTTTCTTCTATTCTCTCACTACTGTTACTATATTACTATCTACTTCTAAAATTTCTGTAATTATTTTGTCTATATAGTCTTCAAGACCTATTACTACATCACTTCCTTCAGCAATTATTTCTTTGTCATATTCTTTTGTTACCATCCTTACTAGTCTTATTGCTTTGGCTCTGTTCTACATACTTTTTAACTCTATCTTTCTTTTTGAAGTGATCTCATCTTTTTTCAGTAATTCTTAGTAACTTTTACTAATTACTTGTGAGCTATCTAGTTTTAGTTTTGTGTATATTATTTTTAATATTCAGCATGAAATACAGATTTTTTTATGATACATTTTGTTTAACTTAGTTTATACGTGGTTGTACTACATCAAATGATCTGTATTTCAGAGTTTGTTTAAATTCCTAAAAATCTAAAAAAAATTTTTTATCATCTGTTCTAAAGTCCAAACTTCTTTAATATTTTAAGTTTTTTTAGACTTTTCTTCTGTTCTTCTATTTTGTTATATATATTTTTGAGTTCTAAATCTTTTATCCTAGAAGATTTTACTGTATTTTATAAGCTATTTAACAAGTTTTCTATAGGTTATTCTTTAGCTTGAATTTTGATAAAATTAATCTATAGAGAGAGTTCCAAGTTAGATATATATTTAGAAGAAACTAAAAGAAAAATATGATAAAGATTATTTGATTCCTACGTTTAGATCAGAAAGAAAAGGTGTAATAGTTTGAAATTGTTTTAGTTACTATAGTCTAAGACCTTTGGTTTAGGTTTTTAGTAATATAAATTTAAAGGACTATACCAAGGTTTTTTATAATTATTTATTGCCTTTTTTAGATAGTTTAGATAATATTATTAGAAAAAAAAACTATCTATTCCAAAATGACAATACAAGAATCTACACTTCAACTTTTACTATAGATTGGCTTGAAGAAAATAATATCAATGAACTTCTTTGACCTTTAACAAGCCCAGATCTTAATCTTATTAAATATCTTTAGAATGAATTAGAGTACTGAGTTTGTAAGCATATTTCTCTGCTAGGCAATAAGTTAGAACTATTTAAGTTCCTACAAGAAGAATAATTTAAAATTGATAGCTCAATTTTTAGAAATCTTGTTAAAAGCATATCTCATTATGTTCATGCTGTAATTACTGCTAAAGGATACCTTATGCAGTATTAATAGTTGTAAATAATATTTTTATAACTTTTAAATACAAAAAAATTAACCCAAATTATTAAGTGAGTTGTCAAGAAATTGCAGTTGTAAAAACCTGTAAAAAAAATGATCAACATTTTGTAAGTATAAAATTCCAGTAATCAATACTAGAGGAGTGTACTATAGCACTATAAATTAAAACCCATAATAAAAACAAAATAAAATAAGAGATAATTTATATATAACATTCTTTTTTTATAAATATAAAAATAAATATTGGGAAATTCTATTTCACCCGGGTTAAAGTCACCCGATAGACTATAATAACGTTCGCGTGACTAAAATTAATAGTATTAGTAGGCTCTAACAAAAAATTCATTGCATATACTAATGCCTAGATAAAATCCCAGGCCTCACCCTAACCCTAAAGTAAATGAAAATTTATTTAATATTTGGGTGACTTTAACCCGGGTGAAAATAGAAATTCCCATAAATATTTTCTGATTTTAAAGCAATTATTATATATAAAATTATACTTTAAACAATTTTGCTTACTCTTTACCTTCTAAGTTGTTCAAAGTATAGTTTTACATATAATAATTGCTTTAAAATCGAAAAATATTTATTTTTTCGCAAAGTTACATCTTCAAATTATGCAAAATTAGCAAAATTTTAATTTAGTTTTTAAGTAAATTTTTTCTTCTTTTTTTTGTTCTATATATAATCGCAAAATTTAATTTAAGTTATTTAGTTAAGTTAAAAAGAATCTTTAGCTCAAAGTCTATAGTAAATTCATATGTTTTTATTATAACACTCTAGGAGAAATGTCCTATGCTTGATAATAAAATTTTAATAGCTAAGCATCGCATGATGCGATAAATAAATTCATTCTTTAAATCAAGATTAAATGATTTTTTCATAACTTTATATATATATATAATTTGAGTAATATTCAATTGACCTATAATTAAAGCATCTTGAACTCATGTAAAGAGAATGTCACATGTCTATTTAAGCTAGGTTCAAATATTTTGACGACGAGACCTTTTTTTTAGGTTTATATAAATATATAACATCCGGATCAAGATTAGTGATAGGACCCAAGCAATTTGGGACGTCCAAAACCAAGTGATAATTTGCATCACATGGATTTCGGTATATTACCGAAACTATGCGATACTAATTTATTACTTGGTTTGGGACGTCCGATATTATATCCACATGTTATTTACTTACTGTACGATATAAAAATAGATTTTGAAAACAACTGCTTTGGTTAAGTCTGATTAAAAAATATATATATGATAAAAACTAGACTCACAGGAAAACAGGTAGAGGAAAATAGAATTCACAACTTTACAATTGTTAATAATAAATTTTATTAATAACTTAAAATATAAATGTTATAGTGCTAAAAAAATGGATCTTAAAGCTTTATACGAAACGATTCTGGTTAACATAGAACCCTATAACTTTAATATCCCAAAGACTCCTTAATAAATACAACATGAACACGCTTAGGATTGAAAGGAGAACCTGATTTGATAATAGAATAATTTGCAATATTACTAGCAGGCATTTTATAAGCTAATCTAACACGTGCTGATTCTAATTCTAAACAATGTTTATATACGCGTTCATTAGCTTCTTGTTCATCTTTAACAATCTTGTTTGTACCACTAACGATAATAAGTTTTCCGGCTGTTGCAAACCAAGCACCAATACGAGTTCCTGACCAATCAACTCCAACCTAATATATTTGTGTATTTATAGTTAAGTCACATGATGCAAATTCCTAAAGATTTCATAAGTATAATCTAATACTTACGATTGCTCCATCCTCAGTGATAGCACTAGCGGATGACAAGTAATAATCAACGTTGAAGCCTTTAACTCGTTTCAACTCCGCCTGTTCGTTCCAATCAGTCACTGCTAAAATTTGTGCGTGAATATTTTCCCATTCTGTAGCAGTCTTTAAATACGTAATAAACCCAATTTCTTCCAAAGTAGTAGAATGTCCATTATTGATTGAGCTTCCTTTGGGAATTAAGTTCTTTAAAAATTCAAAGGCCTCTTCTTTGGTTTCAAGAATCGTAACTTCATGACTCTTGGCTTCTAGATTTGCTTTAGTGGTCTGAAGTGAGGCTTCAGATGCAACTGTTACGTATTTGTCGTCAATTACTACTTCTTTGCTGGCGAGTTTTATGTCACTTTTCAAGAGAGCTTCACGGGTTTCTTCAGGATGATTATTCACGATGGCCATTCTTTTTTAATTTTCGAGAGATTACAGTATATATTACGAATTAATGATTGATGTTATTCCAAAACGTTAATTTCAAAGTTCTGCGATATCCATTTATATAATTTTTTTAAAAAATCAAGATTAAGAAAATCTTTCTAAAAAAGATTATAATTGCCTCAATATTGTAATACGCTTAAAAATCAAAAATTTGAATTTCTCTAAGCTGACAAATCTATGAATTTGTAAGGCGACATTATTAATAATTTTAAATATAGTTAAATTAACACTTATGTTTTGTAAACAATAAGGCAGCGATTTTCTAAATTTAACTATTGCATAACATTGCGATTGCATATCGATATATTTACAATTTAACATCTGAGGATTCGACTTATTACCACTTCTGATTGGCTGTACTAATTATTCCCTTATTGTATTATTAATCAAAAAAAATTTTCAAGTGTTGTTGGGCCAGAGTTATAAGATGGTACTTATACCAAAATTTTACAAGAAAAAATTTTTTTTATTAATGGCTTTTTTTTTGCGTTTTATGTTACACCTGATGTGAAATTTGATAAATTTGATTGGCTCTGATAGTGAATAATTAGTACAGCCAATCAGAAGTGGTGGAGACTTACGGCTAATATTATGTAATTAAGTTATTATTGGCCAATTTTTTTATTCATTTCACGAGAGGATGAAGTTTGAGTTTGGACATGGTTAAATCAATCCTAAGCTTAATTTTTTTTCAAAATCGACACTGCTACAAAGTCATGGTTGGAAGAGATATAAAAAGTAACATTCAGTACTAATTAAACAATTGCGCTCTCTTCCCTGATAGTTTAGATTAGCCTGATGTAGAATTAGGATTAGCCTAATTTAGAATGTCAGAGAAGCATATAAACCCAATTTTGTACATTATATGTACTAACCAATAGGGACTACATAAAGGCGGAAAATACCTCGCATTGCATTAAGACTAAGGCCACGCAAAGTTGATTTTTCGTTTTGCATTACATGGAATCAAAAAATTGGGTCGGTCGGTCGATTTTTTTTTTTTAATTTTTTTATACCTTTTTTTTTTTTAAAAAAAAAAAATGTTAAAGTTGCCAAAGGAAAACCAGACCTCGGGCTTACAATTTTATTTGTTGCTGACATGTTTT